CCAAATGTGACACTACAGCTGTATGTGACGTCGGAGATTTGAGGACAAAAGCAAGGAATTGACTTTTTGTGAGAAGCTGTCGGATGTCGGAACTTGTCTGATCTCTCGTGAGATTTGCCGGAGAACCGACCAGTTTCGACGTCCTTAAATACCACAAGCACGATCTTGACTCAAGTTTTCAATTTAGAGAAGAATTCGGCCCATAAACTTGGGTAATAATGCTAAGCTGAGAATCTCGACTCCGTCGTTAAATGGGAGGATGCATGCCGCGGCCGCAGGACAAAGACATCGCTTCAGCCAACACTGATGGGCGTCTGCCTGAAACTTTTCAGCACCGGCATTTCTGTGATGCTTTCATGAAACGACAGCCGCGTAGCCTTGACTCGTCGACAAGTTGGCCACGCGAAGAGAAATGGCCTCAACGTCAAACCTTCATACATTCGATATGACCAGCAGACAAGGCGATCAATCCTCCTGCAGCCTTCAACCTGACAAAAACTTGACAGACTCGCAGCTACACCACCCTGCCTCAGCAACAGCCCAGCTGTGGTTATCTCCCACGCACCTCCATTCCTGCCACCATAAAATGTATTCAGAACACAGCTTGGCTACGAGGCAGGTCTAAATCGCAGCCCCGGAAATAGGGCTCAACAGCACTGCTGCTGTTTGAGCTACACGGCTAACTTCTAAACCCTCCCAAGGGCGTCTCCACGACGCCAACCGTGGCCGCCCAGCCAGCCGAGCTCCGCGGAAGCCACTAATCCCATACATCAACATAATTATCATCTTTCCCCGGAGGCGACACGTTTCTGGACGTCCGCTGCATCGTTTATTGCAATTACCGACCGGGTGGGTAGCCGCAAGCCGGCTCAACGCCGGATTTTTCGTCACACCGAGCCCGCCTACGCTTTAGACCCGATATTTCTATTCTGAGCCTGCGCCGCGTCGGCAAGAAAGTTGCTATTCGCCCGCTCGCCAAAGACGAACAGGACGCAATTTTCTGGAGCTTGGGGGCGGAGACATTAGCGGCGCGGATACGACCGCGTCAGCGTCTGATACGGACGCCCGGCATTGATCGGGATCAATCAATGATCAGTGCCGCCCAATCATCATATATCACGGATGGGCGTCACCTAATTTTCAGAGCGGTCGTGCGCGAGACGCGACCGGGCGAGGGGAGAGCTCCTGGGCGGACCCTCCGCGGTGGCTGCAGGGAGCGAGATGGAGTCGACTGGTGATCGGGCAGACGGGGAGCAACAGAGGAGGAGCCGGGAAATGGAGGGGATGACTGCAGATAAAGGATGGTTCACGCCATCCAGTTGTGCGGTTGAATTTATGAGCGTGTGATTATATAGCCTCTATATCAAACAAACTTGCTTGTTTATGAAGGAACCCATGGGAGAATGAAGAAATTAGCACGGTATCATGCATGCATAATACAATGAAAGGGTTACCTACCGTTGATGTATTTACCTAGAAGGGCACGGCTGCAGCTTCCGAGGTAGCCTGATGTTCAGTTTGCCATGCTTTGGAGCAAATTACCACTTTCCATCACACTTTGGGACATCGGAGGACAGTGGCGTGGGCGTGCTCTCCGATCGCCGGCGCCATCGCCGCTATCTGGCGGGCGTTCGGAGCGAATTTATCAGAGCCGATCTCAGATCGAGCGCCCTTACGGAGAGTGTTTCGGCCTGGAAACCGAGCCATCTCAGCCGCCATTGCCAGCCGCGGCAGCCGCGACGACGCCCCGTTTACGAGTCGCGTTCAGAACAGAATTCCGGACCGCTGCCCGGGCCGATCCGCCCCTGACTGGCTCCCTGCCGAGCACAAAGGGAGCCCGATCGCGCGGCGGCGGCCGCTGCGGTGTACCCCTCGGCCGCGGGGCGCCCATGATTCACCGCTCACAGGACGGCGTTACGCGGCCCGGTCATTTGGGTACAGATCCTCCCCGGTTGTAATGGGACGACGTCGGAGGGCTGGACCCGCCCCGACCGCCCGCGCAGCCGGCGGCCCGCCCAGCGACCAGACACAGCAGACTCAAGATCGAGCCGATAGAGCGGAGCGACGAGCCCGGCCGCCGCCCCTCCGCTGTTGCTCCTGGAGCTACCTTCCCCTGCAGTTTCTCCCTCCCCTATCTGACTAGCTTCCCTGAGGAGTTGGACGAATTTCGACGGCGATGGAGGTGGTTGCGTCGGTAATGGTGCTCCACCGCGACTCTGAGGTAAACTGGGAAGTGGGAAGGCCCGTCTCCGGATCGGCGCGGGGAGCGCGTGTCACACCATGATGTCACAGATAACTGTGTTTGTTCCAGGAAACGTCAATGCGGTATAACGTGCTGGGTGTGAGATCACCGGTCAGCACGTGCCCAAGAAGGTATACCTACCTACTGGGTTATCGTTATCGACGAGGCAAGGGTAAGAGGACGGAAGCTTTATCAGCGGCGTTGGGGACAGAGGTAATAGGTGCTGACCTCAGCTCAGACATCAGGGTTTGGGTATTTGATCTGGATTTAGTTGACATTGTAGCGTAATAGTACTCGTTCAAATATACCGACTTTATTACTTGCAAACATTGCATGAATAACCTCTGTTTCGCTCACCAGGAGAGGTTCATTAATCCTTGCGGATACAGTGAGCTATATAACTGGACAATCAATTGCTTGATTACGATATTTGTCCTCCACTTCAGAACGATAAACACAGACCGATGCGGAGACGCGACGTTGCTGGCGCGGGCACTGTACGGAATGCGGCCAACTCGGCGCCGGTCACGGCCCATATCGTCGTCGCCGGCGACGTCGGCGGCGGGGCCGCGAGGCGGGGGCAGCAGCGGACCGTAATGCGGCGAGGACAGTGCTGCCAATTTATGGGGACCGCCCCGCCTCGCAAAAACGAGGTGCATGTGGCGGCCGGGCGGTGTAAATGGTCCGTGGTGCTCTCCTGGCTGGGTGGGGGCTCCTCTCCACGGGGGTTTCCTCACCATCACAGGTGCCGTGCACGTTCCCTCTAAATGTTACCGTATGTGGCTCTGGTGACTGTTTGTGACACGAGTGCTCTTGGAGTAATGGTCTAACGGTTTGCACAACGTTTATGTGATGACGTGACGTCGATCCATGGCGTTTCTGTGATCTAGGTACCCGTGATGTGACTCTCCCCGAGCGTCCTATACGGTCACTCGAGAGTCTGCGTGTGGCATAAGTGGCCTTGGTTTTCCGCCGCCAGCCTCCGCCGGCGCAAGAGCGGCGCTCACATATGTGGGAAATGAACGGCCTGTCGTGGAGCGGCACTAAATTGAGACACGTCCTTACGAGGCCAGTATTTCATCCGACCTGCCCTCTCGTAAAACAGTGTCCTTGCTCGCCCGACAAACACAGGCGCAGTTTTCTCCGGTGGCGGTAGGCTGGCCGAAACCTAGTCGCGTTTGTTTCAACACCAAGAACACGACTGCTTGACACCAGCAGCTGTCAGCTGGCGCGAGCGCGACCCGACAAAAACTTCTTCCGCCTCTCAGCTCCGCTGTAAACGCGCACCCAGTTCGCGTTCATTAGTCGATATTAATGGCACCCGGGTGAGTCGGGTCCGATCCGAGCGATGATTGCCGCAGCGCCATCGCTCACGGTGACACTGTGCCACCGATGGGGCGCAAAAACGCAACGCGACAACAATGTGGGGGCGCGCGGCCTGCGTAAGGCGCGAGCGCGCTCCGGCGGGCACCAGCGCCGGCGGCCGGCCGAGTTTTTGCACAGTCGATTGATGAACGGCGCGGGCGATAGCCATCCTTCATTGGCCGGCGATGAAACGCGATCGGGCTCCGGCAGATGCGGCGGCTTCTTTGATCGTGTGACGGTGTGACGGATGGCCGGTCACGTGACGATCTCGGCGCGGCCCGGCGGCGGACGCTGCAGGGCGCCGCCAGCCCGGGGTGACGGCCGGGCGCCGAGCTGGCGCCCCAGCGCCCCATCGCCGATATTTCAGCCATCTGAGAGGCGCTCCGGCCATGCAGGGCGACGTAGCCAATCTCACAAATAGACAGCCGTGGCCGCGCCGCTTTTGTATAAAGTTCATGAATGCAGGCGGCGGCGCGGACGTGCCTGAACATCAGCGAAATTCCCGCCACAAATGGAATTGCATCTAAGCTGGGCGCATTCAATACCAATTTCCGGAAAGGGACGTGGCTTTCAGGAACATCAACATCTAAAGTGGCTCTGATTTTTCCGGCGAAAGCACGCAGCAGCGCCACAATCACTGCAGCCTGGACTCGGCCATTCTGTCTTGTGTGCGCTCCGCGAGGCCAGTCCGGCACACAAAGCCAGTCAGGTGGTGGCCGAGTTGATCTCTCCCACGTGCGAACGGTCGCCGGCCAGACGGCCGCCGGTCGTGTTGACTCGACAAACACATCACCGTTGGAGCGAAGGTGGACCCCTGAGGGACCCCGGTGACCCGGCGGTCCACGGAGGGGGTCGGGGTGGCCGGCGTCACGGTCCGTCCGGCCGCGTCACGGCCGGCGGTCACTCCCAGCACACCGTGACTGATGGTCCGTCACGTCACACCGTTACGCCGCACGCAGCTCCGTCCGGCCGCGGGCATTTGTCGGGTCCCGTGGGCGGTCCCGAAAACACGAAAACAAGAGCACCAGCGTGTGAGAAAACGTGTTTTAAACGCACGGGAGCGCGGACAACACCGCAAGTTTGTTCGACCGGTGGAGTTGGATGTCGAGGCTTAGTCAAGCATGCAGCTTGGCGCTGTAGCCAAATAAAATTGACCGGCACACCTGCTCACAAACGAATGTTTTTAACTCCCGGCAACCCTTCCTAGTTTACTTAGTCAATTATCGACCTAATGCATACATTCACAAGAATGTTTTCAATACTTTGCAAGGCACTTAAAGCATGCCTGCGAATGACCCACCATGAATCCATTGGACATAATCAATGGAATGTTATCAATCACATCAAAACTTCCATGCTCCTCTCAGTAGCGCACCCAAGAAGATGAACTCACCTGCGACTTTGAGTGTGGCGTTGTGGCTGCGTGCCTGGCCGGCCTCATTGCGCGCCACGCACCAGTACACGCCCGCGTCGTTCTCCTTCTTATTCTGCTGCACGGTGAGGAAGAACAGCGCTCCCTCGGGTAGAGTGACCCGGTGCGACGGACCGAGGTTGAGCTCCTGGCCATCCTTGAACCAGAGGATCTTCGGCGATGGCCGGCCCTCGGCCTTGCAGTTGAGAGTGACCGGGTCTCCTCTGGGTACGATCGTGTCCGAAGGGTGCTCCGTGATACGTGGCGACCGGTACTGGCCTGAGGAAAGAACAGCAGACGTGGGTCAAGCAACGAGTGGTAAGACATGGGCCGTTGAACTAGCCCGGAAGTTGTGGAAGAAAGCAGGGAGGGCTGTTGAACTAGCTGTTGAATAAGAAACGATCGTTACAGCAAAGACGTGTGGGAGAGTCACGAAAATGAGATACATCATACAAGTATATGGTGGAAACGCCGGGCGGCGATAAACACTCAATCTTGACAGAAACATGAGAAACGATAATTTACGCATACGTTATTACATATTACGACGAGAAATGCGGTTGCCTAATCACAAAGGCTGATCGACCCAAGTTTAATGTGGGTTCTACGGCAACGTAGGCTATAATTTACTCCCCACAATGACTTTTAGCCATTTGGGACATTTCGATATGCATACTTATGCTGAATCATTGGTCGTGGACACGAATTGCATGTCTTTTCAGTGGACCCTACGGGCTTGCACGTCCAGTCAAATCGCGTGATTTGGGTGCATCAATTCCAACAATAAATCAATAAAGCAAACGCTGTTTGCCCACCGCACGTGAACCGAGAGCAATTAGTTCCAGTCGTTCGGGAGCCAGTCATCGAAACCCGTTCCATAAAAAGTCTATTTGGATAATAACCGTCAAAATGTCTGTCGGTAGTAGCTGTCTGCATGTTCCTAAACGCGCCTTCGTGTTTAAAAACACGCGCCGACGACGGTGCGCCGCACGCACCGGCGACTGCCTGTCTCCGTCGCCGTGACGAGCAGTCCATCTCTCGTCGCGCGACTGACTGCCTCGGTCGCTCATGCACCTCCTCGGGAGACAGATCGGCGCGTCCCGAGAGCCCTCTGAGGGGAGCGATGGCTCCTCTCCGCCGCCAGCCGCCTAATGGGGCCATGTCGCGCTGTTTTTGCGCTCTCCAGCCGGATTGATAGTGCACGCCGCGCGCCGGCCTTCCGGCTCGCTCCCGCGCGGCACGGTTTGTGACAGATATGACGATCGCTGCCGCTAATTGAGCTCGAGCAGGCCGCATGCCAGCCTGTCGGGCGCCACTTATCAAACCCGCGGCCGCCCGGGCTGGCTGTCATGTTCCTCCGCGACCCAGCGAGGGTGTGAGCCGCCGGCAACTGGACTGCAGACTGGGAGCGGGCCACAGCGGACAACACACAGCGTGGCAAGTGTGTGAGTGAGTGAAAATGAGGTTTTAACCCTCGCCCATGTAGGGGGGGGGGTTGGTGCAACCCCCCCCCCTGAGGTTTTTCGGAAATAGTGCAAAAACGGCGGCGCGCAGCGCCGCCAAATTTTGGGTACCTTATGGGGCAAACCTTGCGCATCTTTTCATAAAAAAATTTGACCGGGTCATGTCAGGTCACGGAGTTATGACGTCACAAAGGGAACAGCCTCCGGCCGGATTTTCACAAACTGAGTGCCAACGCCCGAGGTTTCCTGCCGGTGGTACGGACATCGGTTGATGGATCGTGATGAAACTTCCCATGCATGTTGGGGCAAGTATTGGCTATCATATGGTATAAGAAACTTGACCAGGTCAGGTCAGGTCACGGAGCTATGACGTCACAAGAGGAACAGCGTCCGGTACTATTTTTGAAAAGCGCCCGAACCACTATTTTGCTAATTCTTGTCACCTCAATGGGAATATGCAGCAATATTAGCTTCTATAGGGAGCAAATGGACCTCCCAAATCCAAAAATACAATCAGATTTCATAAATTTAAATTTTGATTTTTCGAATTTCTGCCGCCGACTGTGACCTTGCCGACTTCCGGCGCTCCCAACGCGCCATTTTTAGAGCTAGGGAAACGAAATACATACCAAACGATAGAGAATTGATCAAGGAACACGATAGTGAAGGTTTCAAGTCGATATCTCCCACCGTTTTGCCGCAATCGCCGCGGAAAGTTGAAAAAAGTCTATTTTTCCGAAAATTTGACCTTTGACCGGTCAAAAGTAGGTCAAATGTTGACCTAGGACCAAAAAATATACCACCAATCGCGAGATCTCGTTGAGAGCAATCCGTTGGTCTTTTCCGCTAAGCTCTACGACGCTCCGTTTTCAAACGCCAAGGGGGGGTCGCACCAACCCCCCCCCCCCCTGCATGGGCGAAGGTGGCAGATCGCCGTTTACGGGCGAGGGTTAAGGCGTCCCTGTCCGTTGGACATTCGGCCGCCTGTAAGGAATCTGTTTGCTAGAAAAATATCGAATTGCTTGAATTTTGATATTGCAAGTGCTCATTTACTTCAATTAGTGTGTGAGTTCTAAAATTTTGACCTTTAAAGTGCTCGGTAACGCGTTGTGGGTTTCTTGGGAGGTGAGTGGGATCCTGGGACTTACTTAACCTACTGTTAGAATTAGTTTTACGTTATAGTTACTTTAAAGGGTTGTTAAGATACCATTTTGTCCTCCATCAAGACAATAAATTTGATTTGGGATTAATTTTGCCATGGTGCCGGCACATGGCCTACTCTTCACGAACTACACCATGGGTTCTTTATCGTGCGGGTTAGGAGGCAATCCCCACACCCCATCTCACGCCGGGTGTCGCGTTCACCCTACAATGCCGGGTGGTGCATGGGCCTAAATAATTATTGTCTGAGGGACAAGACTGCATGGCCATTTAACAACTTACAGCGTGGCAAACACAAACCGGGCGCTGGCCCACCTTTGACAGCAGTACTCGAGGCGTGAGTCGCCGTCGTTACGGACGCACGATAACAATGGCCGGCGAGGTGCGCGGGTCTCCACCTTTGTCTGTGTCGATCAATGAAGGGGTGGGGCGCCTAATGGGACAGAGCTGTAAAGAAGTGAACGGAGAGAACCGGCCTCTGCCCTGACGAAACTACGCCCATATAAACCGGCGCCAAAAAACGCCACGATCCGCTGATAAAGTAAAACGCCATCGTGCCGCCGACCAGAACAAAACCCCATCAAATCAGAGATTGACGGCTATTTTAAAGGATGCCGACCACAAGGGATACTAAAAGCTGGAACAAAAGCTGCGGCTCCATAACAACAAAGCCGGCGCAGACGTCTCAATCGACCTAGACGGTGCATGGAGCCGATTCAGGGCGTCCATTAACACCTCAGCGATCGTGTAAACACGGCGGCGCCAGGCCGGGTCAGGCCGGGACGGGCCGGTGCAGCCCGGGCGCCGCCGCCCCACGAACAGCTGCACGGGACCAGTGATCGTCGCCGGGCGGCTATCTTTGCCAAACAGCGGCGCGGTGCCGCCGCCGGCGCGGCCAACACCTCCACACCTCACACGTGCGGCGCCACCTGCCCCCTGACCCGGCGCTGCCACCCGCCGACCAAACACGCTATCTCGCTCTGCCCGCCGGCAAATATTGCCCCGAGGTGGAACTCATGGTGCGACGCCCGGGGATCATGGCCCGACGCCCCGCGCGCCGGACAGGGCCAGCCGCTTCCGTTGGTATTCCCATCGACTCCAACCGACCGTGACCTGCCGACTGCTGTGGCTCGGTGGTTGAACCGTCAAACCGACCCACCATTGGACAGCCCGTGCAGACTCGGCACCTTCAGAATGCATTCGGAACCACTCACCACCTACGACTTGACTTGAGTTGATCAAAATTGCAGCTAAATCCCGGAAGGATAACGGTAGTGGATGGAAGAGGTCTGTTCGTGAGAAACGTACAGTTCACCCGTTCAATACGGAAATGTTCGTGCGTGCTCGTGATCGTTCACTCGTTCTCTTTCGTCACCCGGAGGACCATAAAGTTATTGTTCATATAAGTAAAAGTCTATTCTTGAATGAAACGGAAACGATTAAAATGCACAAAATACGGCGGTCACAAATGCGGTTCACTGAATCGTTCTCGTAGGGCCACGTCGGCCGCGTCGTACGTAAGGCCACGTCGGCCACGTCGTGCACCGGGCCGTCGCGCACCGGTGGAGTCTCGTCGAAGACTGTCAGGCCCCCGTCCCGTCTCAGCCCTCGTGGTACGCACAACACGTGGGCATGAGAACCAGGACAGGGGCCAGATGACACATATGTGAGCGGCGTGGCGCGGCGGACCGACCGCCGCGCTCCGAGCGCCGGCCGTCTTTGCGAAGATATCCAAAATGCCTATTTGCTCGCTAACATAGCCGGCCCGGTTTTTCGCGATCATCCGCGGAAAATCCAACAAGTAGCGAGCAATCGTTCAAGCGTCCCGTACGCACGCACACACTCGTAACGATCCGTTCAACATGCGCGATATACATACACTCACATACAATGCACATTCCGCACTACACAATGTCTGACTGAGGCAGGCATTATCCCCGCCAACAATCACCCAGTCATAAAACTGGTGACGGCGCGGTCTCGGCAGCCGGGTGCCGTCACACACTGACGCATGTCGTAAACTACGCACGCTGGGCCGAGAGGCATTGGCGGCAGTGACATTGCCGTCACATGGCCGACACACACCAAACACCCATCACACAATGTACAACACGACACACATTACGTTACCGAAGCGGCGAAGTGTACAAACGCGGACGTACAATAGCGCTAACACGGTGCGTATCATAAACTAATCTAACACTGCTACCTTACACTCTAAGGTCGTAAACTACTAGCGCGTCCAAGAACTGTCACACGGCTCACAGCTGATAGCTAATGGCTGAACTCAACACAAATGACCACTGGCAGAGGACAGACTGAGCGGCTCATTTTCACACGCTCACACACGCACGCGTTTATACCGCGAATGACGGGCGCAGGAAACACTAATAGATGTCCAGACTACGACACTGCTCGGCGGCTCAGAGCGCTCGTAAACGACTCACTTCAGTCGTCCCACGCGCGCATTATCCCTCTGAGGCCGTTTACTGTTCGTCGCCGTCGCACTCGAGACGGCAGAGACGAGAGACTGGCCGCCTGTAACGACCAGTGCGTGGCAGTCGTCGCATCCACGGCGCGGATACGACCGCCTACACCGGGGTCATACACTCCGCTCGTCCCATCGGCCGGTGTCCACGCGGTACGTCTCCGTCG